TCGAAGGTCTTAGATCTGCTTAGGGTGTGTTATTTAGATAAATGCTTTTCCCGAACAGGAGGAACGGAGTAGCAACGAATAAAAATAGTTGCTGTGTGCCAAATGCCCTCCTCGTAGGTGTATAGGGCAGTGGTGCCAGGCGTAAAGTGTTCGTAATAAGTAATAACTTTATTTACGATCTATTACAACAGAAATGCACGACGAAGTGATTTACTGTTAGTTGTACACGTATTTTAACTAGCTAATTATCCACGATAGACAATAATATAAGCTGAATTATTTTGTGATTTTGAGAGAATATGCTTATATGGTATTGGCCCTTGTGCCAATGTTTTCGAAACGACAAAGTCATACCATTAGTTCGCTCATATTACGTGTCGCTGAAAGCTTAGCTGTACATCGTACTCGAACCTTTAAAAAATGCCCTAATCTGCAATAATCGCTGGTTACCTTTCGAATTCCCTAACTACCAGCAGAATACGCCGTACAAAGAACCCAAATATGGGTGCGTATCGTGCCGATCATGTACACAAGGCTCCTATACTTAATCAACTTCTTAGAGTCAACTAATGGCCTTTCAAGGGGATAATGTTATTTCTTTCTTAGCAATGAGTAAGCTGGATTTCACTTAAGGCCAATACATTACACCTTCTGTGCATGTGTCAAGTACGATTCCCGGCGCATGTGTTCGACTTTACCTAGTGTAAGATTCGAAAAGGAGTTTCTGCGCTTAAGAGCTTTCCTCGTCCTTTTTATTTACTTCTGACATACCGTCCGAAGGCGCTGTTGCGACACTAGGAGTGATATAGCGGTATTGTGTTGCGGGTACAATGAAAAACTTGCAAGAACTCCTTAAACATGGATGCTTCAAATGGGAAAGTGCTTTTGTGACCCCCACTATATTGTAGATTTCGTTGGAGCCAAAACACCGGTGACAAGCTCTCCATGACGCGAAACATTTGCCTTGTGCACAGTAATGGCGCCATCGTTAAAAACATTGCCCAAAGGTAATATGCTAAGTTCGACAGGATTGCCTCCTGCTATGGTCGACCGTCTCAGTTCAAGTTGCTTCTGAAACAAGACAAACAATTCAAGAATTGGGCGAAATAATCGGCGGCACTCAACACGACTGTCGTGAGCCGCATGTAGTCTTTTGAGTGTACACAGAAATCTGGGACGTGGGTGCCTCATTAACCGCCTGAATTTAACAAGGTATTACAGCTTAACGCTGCATCTCGACGTCTCGCCTTGTGTCAAGCGTTATGCAGTCACAATGACAAATTTTGGCACAGAACTGTCACCGCTAAGAAGAAATTATCCCTATATCAACATGAACTAGAGACTGGAAAGGATGGCCTCAGGATAGGCCAAAGCCTGGGATCGAATTCGATCTAGGCCTAAATACTTGTCTAAGCAATAGATGCTTTGCATTTGGCGGAACTTCTAGGACCTGACCCAGTACACATTGTTTTCTAAGAACCGAAAACCTGACCGGTACGTGTTTATTTGGCTCATTTGCATCAAGCCAACCCAAGAGAAAAGGCCCCGCAAGCGAAATCAGATCATCGTGTTTCATGGAAACGCGAGGCTACACAGGCAAACACTGTGTACGCTGTCTTTTTGAATTTCGAAACATCTTTCATGCTCTCCGGCATCGATCGATTGATTCTTGCATTTTCCCCCTACTGGATACTCATCTTCTTAACTTTGCCTAAACTAGCTACTTTCTGATGAGATGGCATACATCATTTGGCCGAAACAAAAGAGGCAGTCGTTGCAGTGGCGGGGATACATAACGTAAGAATAACTAACTGTCACTCAAATACGAAATATAACATACCCTGTTTAGTAGCAAAAAAAAAAACATCGCAACGTCCTAATTTAATGTACTCGTTACATACATCGTTCTATTTGAAGCCACAAATTTGCAGTTCTCTCTATTTGGCGATAATGGGAAAATCATGCGGTTTGACAGGAATTGCTGAACTTTAAGTTACTTGCGTCATAGTAATTGGCGGGCACCTGCCATGTGGGCAGAAGCTACAAACTCAGGTCTCTGAAACGTGTCCGGGCTGCTACTTCTGTCATTGTGTTCGATGGTCTGAGCAGTGTACGAGTGCGGTTCATTTCTGTATCAGAATCCTGTAGCGCAAAGCGCCAGAACAGGTTTGACAGCCAATGCAAATTAATAGAAAACCCTGGCCCCGTTGATGTTCGAAATCGAGTCGGACGCTGACCAAGTGTCTATGGCTGTGTCCTAAGAAGACAGACGCATGTAGTCCATAGATCTTTCAAACGGCAGCGACTAGCATCAACGACAGGCTCTTGTAGCAACACGACCAGTTGCTTGAAGCAGGTATTTCGACTTAAAGGATTTCATCTCTAGTAATAAATATTTCAATAAAGGGTTCAGGCTTCTGCATTTACTTGAATCCGTTTTGTTCGCTCGTGTTTAGGAAACGGTCGTTATGATCTTTTATTTTAGAATTCACTAGGAAAAGTTAGATGGTTTCACCCTATCGCGTATCATACTGGTGCATTAGCCGTCTCGATTTCCATCTGTTGCTTCTGTGTATAGTAATCATGCACCGTTAGAAGGTTCTTTCATTACGTCACAAGACTATTGTGGTCGTTTACTTCTAACCGTAAGGCTTGGCCTCAGCTTCGGACACCAAACAGATTTTTTTGTTTGATCGTTTCGATATTTCTGACTGGCACCCAAGTTAAAAAGCTAACCTCTGGGACGATTGTGATGTATAGAACGAAGTTATATTGGTTCAAGTATGAGTAAAAAGCGATTTGTTGTTTTGAAAAATGAAAACAATTTCAACTTAACGGTAGTTTTTTTCACTTCCCTTTTTAAACTTGACGAGAGTAACTTTGATAGGGATGATTGTTAGACCGGAATCTACCTCTCTCAGTTATTAGATCTACGCTGTACTATTACAATTGTTAGGTTATGCTGCGTCCGCAGCCCTCTGACTACCTCAACGCCATCGACATAAAATCCCCTTTCTTTCTCTCAAAAAAGCCCATCTTTCGAGCATAAGTCAAACAAGACAAGGTTTGGAATAAGAGCCTTCCAAAATAAGCGTGTTACACTTAACCATTAACCATTGAAAAATAGGAACGTTCGAGCGACCCAGACAAATTCCCAATTGTTTCGAGGCGGTATTGGCCTACAAGTGTCCTGTACGGATAACTGAGCTACGTTTATTTTTCAGCTCGTCTTTAAATACCGTTATATACTCCAATAACATTCAGATTAGCTGACGTAAATTCCAGCCAACGATATTGAGCTATGTACTTGAAATGATGCTATCTTCTTTAATAAACTAACGCATCCATTGTACGCGTGCAATAGCAACGCCTTTTAGGAAATACTAAATTGGATTTAATACTGTTAGAGTGTGTCTATATCTTTTTATATCACAAAATATAAAGCTTTATTAATATTCATTTAAAGAGGGACACCACTCACGCTTACTGGACTGCGTAGAAGGACAATTCATGTTTGCGGTACTTTGACGTTGCACTCACTTCGTAAGCCGTTACGCTCAAATAGGGGTAAATGTAGTCGTACTTACCGATTCAGTATCCGATATGTCCGAAAGTTTAAGTTACGCTCGAATGATACGCCGAGTTCGTTGCATCTGTTCATATAAGTGATTTCTTGTGTGTTGAAATATTACACAGTATTTGTCCATCTAAGGTCACGAAAAATCAATATATGTAAGGCCTCTGTCCTAGCGTTATTATTTGATTTTATTCGTACATTTTTTAACTTACAGATGTTGCCATCGTCATCGTTGATAAAAGGTCTCCCATTTCGTTGTATCTTTGTTGAAGCTATCAATGTTTTTTGCATGTTGGTCACAATGTCTCCAATTGCGATCGTACTCGAAGCAATAGCAGCATTCAATTCTGCTAGGACGTACTGTGTTGTTAGATTGAGGATCAGCGCATCCGGGATGCGCAGAACCGTAAAAACAGGACCATCCTCTACAGAACTTACGCTTCCCCATTCTCGCGGGCCTGCCGCAAGTCCGTCATCGCATGCGGCTTGATAAGCAGTTTAGTCTCAGCATAGCTTATCCGTGTCTTCTCCATTCTCGTTGGTCAAATCGAGTTTGGGGCTGGGTACAATGTTTCTATGTGAGTCTTTTTTGTTGCCTTCTTCAGCGTGTGCCATAATCTTTGCCAATAGCTGATACAAATTGGCTAAAATAGCGTTTTAATAAGCAAGGATACCCCAAGGAGAAAGATCGCGTTTGGGGCGCCTTACACGTACATACAACAAAACCTTTATACAAGTTCAAAAAAGACGTCGGAAAATCATATTTTTTACTACTGTTCATGATCGTTGATAGCGTATACGACTTGTATTAGACAGGCCTCAATGCATTTGTATCGTACATCTGCAAGTATTGTTAGCGAGCGTCATGAGGTAGAGAAAACGACAAAAAATTTACAAAAGTGCTTACAAAAGCGCGCAGAACAAACGGATGAGGCACAGGAAGGACTATGCACAAGCCCTGCACTGAAGGTTTTTATCCGCGAGCCTGAAAGAAGCCAATGGATAGCTAATGAAAAATAGAGATAATTAAGGCGCACTGAGAGCATCTAAGGACAACAGTGCAGATAGTGTAACATAACACGTGCTGTATCCTTACTTCAATCTCTTTGCGCACGCGTTTTGGTTCAGGTGTGAAGCTGGCACCGAGCATACCTCTCGTCTACAACAAAACTGCGAACGAATACTCAAGAAACAAGTCCGAACACAGCAAAAAGTCACTGGACTTCGCAGATTTCACTGTCAATGGCAAAAGGCCTTTCCTTTATTTTGACTTTTACCAAACGTTTTTTGCCTTTTTTGTGTAGGTTTTATATAGAAAAAACAGTAGACTTTCTATAAGTTCGTTGTTCCTATCAGGTCAAAATAACGTTTCTTGCACATTAATAACACGTTGATTTTATTTTCTGCTACTTTCCCCTTTCAGTGATAATATGTTCGCGAAAACGGCGTACAGCGAAGCAACTAGGTGGCGTAGAGGTAAATAGTTAGGATATACTAATTGCACGACAAACGTCATCAAACGGAGGCTGTTTCGCCGTATTGTACGGCGTATGAGGAAATGTTGTTTGCAGACTGTATGTTGCCTTAAAAACATCTGATCATAACATTACGCAACCCATACAGGGGCGTAATGCTTGTCTGTATAGGTAGAATGCATTTATACACGTAAAAGAAGCATTTAATAAAAATTTCATCGAAGCACTAATCTTAAGTGCGTCAAATATCTAATATTGTGTGCCGGAGTGCGTAATACTTCACCACCGTTTTAGCACCTTCATCCATGGCATCTCCCATCAAAACGCCTCATGATGCGTTTAGCTGGTACTCAGCACTGACGTATGTTATTCACGAATTCCACTGTGCTATATAACCGAGCCAAAGAGGAAGTATATTACTTAATTTAACTAACGGAGTAACACCGAGAATACCGTACCAACACACAGTGTGGTGATTCGGGTCTACGAATGACTTTCTTCTTCTTGCTGGAACGCTAACTGGGTCAATATCAAGAAAGACTCATATAATGGCTGTTATTTCGTGTCTGAGTCTTGTTCTCTTCTACTAAATCACACACAGTCGACTGACTCACTTTCGTTGATAGCTTCGTCTGTGATCCGCGTCACATCACTCGATGCTGGCTTTTCTGCTTCGACGCTGATATCGGAAGTTGGTATGTCTCATAGCGTATAGTTTAGACTACTCACTCCTGGCCGCGACCCGGTGCTTGCACAGTTCTACCGAGCTAGCGCTGCCTAAAGACTCGTCTACACTGTGAGTTGGAAAGTGTGAACGAAAGGGATTGAGCATGAAGAAAGCACGGGGCACGGAACCTCTAGCTATTTCCAAAAGTTTCGCTATCGCACCACCGAAGAAACTGAGCGACCTAGAAGGGACTAGGACTAGTCGTGGAGGGACTGCAGAGGCCTGTCAACTTGCCTCACTGATTTTACGTGTCTTCTGTGTACTTGTTGTTACCGCTCTGCTAGAGTAACAGACAAGGGAATGTGGTGACTATATACTGGTTAATACCTGCTTGGTGTACGTAGTAGAGTTCGTTATAGCAGCGTTTTCCCTTTTTGCTTCGGCTGCTGTTGTGCTTCAGCCAACGAAAAAGCTATTGTGTTCGTCTGTAATTCTGGTATGTCAGGTTTACACCCTGGTACCATCTATCGTCGTCGCCGCCTTTGGTTTTTATCAACGCAGTTTGAAAAATGTTTTCGCGTGCTTTAGCGGGTTGGGGGTGTAAGAAGAGGTCTTCCAAATATAAACTGACTGAGTGCTGGTATGAGAAGATTTTGTTGGCATTTAACCCAACTTCATATTGCCTCTGCGTTCATATGCGTAGCATACCGTGACGTTATTCAACTGCAAAGATTCCGTGACTGGCTTAATCCCTTTGTAGCGTATCTTACGCATTTTAAGGTGAGATGCGCTTTTACCAATCTGTACACAAACGACGAGATTATATAATCGCCACAAGGAACAGGCCGGTTGGAGGTCTGACGTCCGCAGGAGGCTGGCCTTTGGGTTAGCCGCTGGTCCATGACATCGCATCGCCAGCGCTGAAACAAGGAACAAAAGAAAGGATTTTGTCGACGGAAGCGGGTATGACCAACAGAGGAAACTAAATGTATACCGTACGGGAGGCTAGATCTGGATCGTGAAGGCTCCATGAAGAGAATGCGCCGAATACGTACGACGATGAACGGAAATATGAGGGCACCCGGATTGTTGGAAGACTGTTGCAACAGCGCGCAACCGCTATCTAAAATGGCCAGCCAAGAGGCGTTGCTGGGCGCGATACCGTTGGCCATTGCGAGGAACATAATTACATGAAGAATACACAAGTCCTTCTTTATATATATATATATTATTGGGCCACTCAGACTAACTTGGATGACGAATCCACTCTAGCCGCTGCGGTTCTTCAAAAGATTGTCTGGGACACGTTGAGGATTTGAGCTGTATTTTCAGTTCATCCAGTCGTGCCCGCTTAGTGCAGACACGTTTTTCGCTTCTAATATGGCGGCAGAAGTACCGTTTCGGCAAACTTCCTCCGGCAAAAAGCGTTCGTAGAGCCTTCCCTTAGAGCTTTCCCACATCACCGGTTTCTACACCGGTCTTTTACACGAACCAAGCACGAACCGCTTGTTGCAAATATTGACGCTCCCGCCTAACGGCTTGGTCCGGTAATCATTCTCGTTTTTCAGAAATTGTTCGTACTCCTTAATACGTCGATTGGACTTCCTTTTACCAAATTCCACCAAGGAGCAACTCCTAGTGTGCTAATTTTTCGAGCAACATATGCTATAATATATATATATATATATACAAAAGCGTGATTTTTTTTGGGTTTGTCCTTTTGACAATAGTCAAGCGACCCTTTGTCTTCTTTTTGGATTGATGTATCGCTTGTATTCATGGTTACTTTTTCGTCATCTGTGTACTCGCATGTTTTATATTTTAGCGCCTGCTCTTGGTGACAGCTCACCCGGACGACGAGTCGATGTTCTTTGGACCGTTGATTGTGAATGAAATCGAACGCGGTACAGATGTGTATTTACTTTGCCTTTCAACAGGTGAGCGCTGCGTACGCACCAAAGCACCAGACGTAAGGAAGAAGTGTCTATGTAAAGCTTATCAGTAACGTTACAGTGAAGAGTACCGGCAAATCTTCTTCCGTTCTTCCGGCAAATTTCAAGCTGATACATGTACTTTCAGGCCACTTGATATTTTTATTTGGGATCATTCGATACTTTTCTCTAAATTCTTTACTTTTCTAATACCTGATGCCAGTTTATTGCAGTAAGAGATGCTGCACAATACCAATTATACCTGTATAATACGTTTCTTATAACCAATAATATCTTACGTACAAACAAAGCCTGAAATCCCCTTAAGCCCTGTGATCCATGTTTCGAAATCTTCCGCTATCGATGCGCTGTTTTCATCCTTAACCTTACCATTATGTTTATTACCAACGGCTTTCTTTTCACGATCGACCCCTACCTCGGTCTTTCTATGCGAACCACTCCCATTCGACCACTCAACTCGGGTGTTGTCCGCCTCCGAACAACTCAACCCAACAGGCGATTATTACCGGGAGGGTTCGCGGCGGAAGGCGGAATTGTTGAACGCCTGTAGATCTCTGGGCATTCCCGCAGGCAACATCACAGTCATTCAGGTAGGTGTCGAAGTGAAACACTAAATTCGAATTACAAGTTCCAAAACAGTTCAACCCTCGATTTGCTACACACTCTCTCCTTGGACGCTAGAACAGTGCTAGGCTATCATTGGTGGAATACAGGCCATATTTAATATATGACAGCCATATATATATGTAATATGGTCATTAGAAAACGGCGGATAAGGAAATACCTACAGTAAATAGTTCTAGCGTCTAGTCGTATTCTTTTCGTTATTAAGAGATGTATTTGTAAGGCGATACCGAGTTATTCTGCATGTAACTTTTATGCCTAGTGAGCTTACATGGATCGTTCCTTATTCGCTAAGCGCTAAACCTTCTGTCGGAACTATGTGACAAATGGATCATGGTTGTATGCTTGATATTCCCGGAGGCTTGCAGGCCGATCGGGTGGATGGAGATATTTGCTGTTCAGGTAAACCAGCCACTCGTAATTGCAGAAGGTGTCGCTGAAATGGGCACATGTCCAAGTAGGTCGTAACCTTCAATCAGACCTACCTGGATACTGTCTATTAGGTAAATTTAATAAATAAACAATCACTCCAGAGCCAGTATTCCCGTTCACATTATGTAAACGTTTGCACTTTACTGCGTGTGCCTACGAAATTTTCTGATTTCTGTTTAGCATGGCCTGCTGCCTGATAACCCGAAAAAACGTTGGAATGATCGATTAGTCGCCAACCTCATCTATAAATACGTCACCAGCCTTAACTGTGACACGGTAAGTACAACGCAAGCTCAATGTCAATGATTTTACGCAACTTTTCCTACTATCGATTTATTGCACGTGGGCTTCCTTTCGTCAACCATGAACGCTAGATTTATGGTTGACAAAAGGCAATAATTTAGATTATCAAATCCAAACGATAGTATAATTTACAGTTATCAGTCCGTACGTTGGTTTGCCCTTGGGGTAAAGATTTACCGTGTCGTAAACGGATCTCGGGGGACATTGTGCGTTAAACATCAAAAATATAAATTTGTTTGGTTTTTTGTTTTGCCCACATCTGTTTTGGCAATATCAGTAGAACGCTTTCAAACCAATACACGGTCGAGCGCACTGGATGATTTTCTCGCAGGCTGGTAATCTCGCTTGCCGGACTGAAACTATTCTAACTAATATGTTAATTAGCTGACACTTTTCACTGGTGCCCCCGCTGGTGGCTGACGTGTTGAATCCACTCCGAAATTCGGATTCGTCTGTTACCCCCCCCGTTCTGTCTTAGACAATACTCCTTATTTGGTGGGTAAGACGTGGTGTGCGTAACGTCGCCAACCCTTCAAACGCAATCCTATGCCGCTCTATGTTCGCCCAACGCGTTTTATGTGGGCTATTATTAGACGATAGATCGCAATATTGCTTGGTCCTCACATTGTGCTCTGTAGTATTTGTGTTAGGCATCAATGAAACACTATCCTCAACGGTCCGCGTCCCTTTCAGCTTTTCAATGGGACCATTGGTACACGAACGAGCGAAGCGGGAGATCAGATTATTTAGAAAGTATAATACGTCGCATTACGAAAAAACAATGGGTTAGATATAGTAATGGAAAAATGGGGTAGGCATAATGATAGTTTTTTGGCGACGAAGTTCAGTCGACATATTTTCAGATAAAGACTCATTGAATCGTCGGAAAGAAGTAAGGCATTTTTGGGACGCTGAACTCGAACTCTCTGCAAAAAATGTTCGGAAGTGCTTAGAAACAGCCTAATCTTTACATAGTGTACCATTAAAGGCAGGAGAATGAAGATAGGTGATGAGCGGATGATCGATTGAAACAATTAATCATCCTTACTTACACTTATTGCTGGGGATTTACTAATAGCAGTAGAAGTTAATGAAGACAAACGGAGTCACCTGAATAAGCCCTGATTGATTCCTGTCCTACCCACTTAATGTTGCAGTAAAATTCAATGCGAAAGTAAACACGTCCTATCGTACTTATATTTTGTAGACATAAAATGCATTGGATTTAATTGCAGGTGGTTTCCTTTGACCATTATGGAGTGACAGGCCATTCAAATCACGTTTCAATTTTCGATGCGTTGTTATATTTCTTTGAAGACCCTGCGGAAACAGGCCTTAAGGTAAGCAGCCACGCAGTCAGCCTACTATTACGAGGCCTCTCAGACAAATCGAGCGACGACGATAATAAATTTGACAATATTCAAGGAAAGACATGAGTACTCAATGTAGGATTTTACCACGTTTTTTTTAGTTTTCACAAACTGACGATAATTGTTTAGTTTTCAATACATTCATTATAAATCTGAGTTGAATATGTGATTTTTTACGTAAAAATATGTTTTTTTTCCCATGAGGCTTAATAAATTTACGTTCGGTATTTAGCTGAGGCTGCCGTTTAATTAGGCGATATAATGAACGCTTACCACAAGGCTGCATAAATAGGTCCAACGGAAACGTGAAATGGAATAAATATGAATTGTTTTTTTTTTCGCATGTCCCTCTTTCAGATTGATTTCCGGGTGTTTATGCTAGAATCAGTCAACATACTTCGAAAGTACAGTGGCCTTCTCGATGGAGCCTTCGGGTAATCACCTTGAATTTCACTGGTGGTATTTATACGCGTATCGGCACGCGATTTAAGCAATAGGACATTTTACATTCAATTGAACGTCGTCAAGTGCATAACTTTATGCTAACTTAAGCGTGTAGTTAACACTGCGGATCGACATTCTCGGTTTACTCGGACCGGTTTATTTACTGCGCTATACGAAGAATAACCTAGTTTACTACCGAATTTGAATAATATTGGTGTGTATACTTTCTTCACGAATCGTCACTCCTTTTGCAGTTATTTGTGGCCGTCTACCTATGTCTATCTTCTAACTCCAGATCAACGGAGAAAGCTGGATGTAAGTTTTACCGTTAGTCCGATCGTCCAAGCCAACATTTGCGCAAACAAACAGCTATCATGTATTCACAATGTACTCTATACCTAAATGCCTAGGGCCAACACAGTTTTATCGCAACAGCTTTGTTGACAAGGAACTTTGCCGAGCTTAATGTAAAACATAAAGTGGTTTTATTACTAATATTTTTTTGGCCTTCAAAACATTTGCAAAAATATTTAGCTAATGGTGTTCACTCGGTTCATCCCGATTCATTTTTCAATGCTTCGTTGCGCCAGCTGGCGATGACTCAACATGGCTCACAATTGACGTGGCTCCGAAGACTGCACTGTCGTTTCTCCCGATATATGGTGAGTAAAAAGCGCCTATATGTATACGAGCATCTATGTATATGATGGTTCGCTGCTCTATTCAGCAACGTTACTATATGGAGTCTATATGAAGTATAGTCCTTGATCTTAAAGTAAAGGATTGTTCCCATGGAACAAAGGTGTAATATCGGCTCTACTGTGTCCGGCGTGTGGCGGCTGACATTGTCCTGTTTGTCTTTTTCTTCAGTACGTCAATACACTCAATGAACTTACGGAGGAGAAGGCAGAAACCGATAAAAACGAATAGATTCGATTGACCCTGTTCGGCAACATCCGAGTATCCTGTCCCTGCGGACAGAAGCACTCCATCGGCAGGTAACGGGCCTACATTTAGACGGGGGCTATCTTCAGAACGCTTCGTTGTGAACTGTAGAACTAAATTTCGTCCATATGTGTTTAATGCAATTATCATCAATGTATTCAATAGATTTACTAGATAAATCGTAAGCGGAAGGGCGATCTTCATTTGTTTGCTGATTTCATCGATCTACCGAATTATCGCAGACTTTAATCAATTGCCAATGTGATATGTTCTAACAAAAATTATATATTTTCCGCCCATCTGCTATCACAGACCTTGTACCTCTGGACTACTTTAAAATAGGGTTAACTTAATATCGCTACTACTTGTTCATTGCTAGTTATTTGTAACTTTTTTATGCCTTGTTTCTGATTTCAGCTGTATGGCGGCTCAAAATGTCGTCTAACTAACTCAGCTGCCAGTGGAGCCTCTGGACGCGCACCGTTTTCCTGTTACTCATTCAGTGATTAATTAGTTTATATTTACCATAAGCAGCAGTGCTAGCTGTAACCGAATCTACGCCCCTGGCCAGACGATTGAGAGTTTCTCATAGTAATGGTTCGTACGGTAGCGTACACACAGACAAAAGTTACTACAATTCGTAGGAATGGCTCTTCGTGTCATTTCACGAAGCAGACACTGCTTGATACCCATACAGAAAACGATATAGGTATATGTCAAATGAGAGCCGATCGTACGATATTCGGCGATCTGGTTAACGTTGCTAATAAATCAGTGCGACGGACAGACCCTTCTCGATATCTGCCGCTGCTTCGGGTGCAAACAGACTCTTTCTTTATTTTCAACTGTTCAGACAAATCATAAATCACCAGATCTCTGTTGGCCGTTATTTTCACCGCCCTCTTCTGCCGATGTCGGCAATTTTCCTAGCATTTCATCAGCGCCTCTCGGGCACACGAAGACCTCTGCTTTGAAGCACTTAACAGGCAACGGTCATAAAATCTACTACAATACACACACACACATTCACACCTAGATCTGAGACTTGAAATCTGTTAGGCCTGCGGGTATATGTGAGAATGTACCTGCGAACCCGTTTTTCGTAGGAGAATGTCGAATGAGAAACAGCTAATATCCTCAATAAGTGACAATAATGGTGAGAAAATGGGTGCAAGGAAGTGCTGACGGTGTAACAGCACACGCGACGTCTGCCAGCCTCTGCGGACATATAGAATCTCAAAAGATCGTCAATAGCCTGCTTCTTCCTCATCAGACAAACACAGTCAGAGGAGCGGTCACCACAGCAAAGTTAGCCTGTCAGTCAGCCATATACAATAATATGATGCGATATGTGCGACCTTCGGCATTCTATCTCCCAGTGATAGGTTACCGGTACCATGGCCACCACACGTAACAGGACGTGCAGGAATAGGTGACGCGGTCGCAGGGCTCACGTTTGTTGTCGAGTAGGGTCAAACAGCCATGTGGAAACTGAGACTATGACAAACACTAAAATAGTGTTCACAATACATATAGGTTATTACGACACCATCAAAAGACTGAGGACTGCACTCGCAATGTGTACGGTACGGTATCGTACCTATTGAGCTATCATCGATTAGACTATCACGGTGCGCTGATAAAAGTTAGTGACACCGTTACTTAGTGTAGAAACCGTTATTGGATGTACTGCACACAGCGAAGCGGGGGAAGAGTGCAACGACGCCACGTTTTCTGGATGCATTATAATGATTACTTCGACTTGTCGATGTTTGACGTCAGCGAGTGGCCAATAGAGTAGACTGTGATACCGAAGAAAAACACCGTTAACTTAAAACTATTATAGGAAGTTACATTTAATATGAGGCTATGTTTCTAGGTCCCCTGTGCCCCTGTATAGTGCGGTTTCAGACGGATAAATAAGTAAATAATAAATAACACAGCCACTAACCACAATGATTGTGGGTAGATACGATGAAACCGATGTTTTGCATGCTAAGGTCATTGATACAAGTCAGCTATGGACCCCGTAGTTGATTCACAGTGATCAGAATGCTATCAGCAAGCCACTGATTCTATTAGGAGACATGGTGCTGCATCAGATATAAGTGTCAGATGACGATAACGCGTCATACCGTTTATGTCGATAGTAAATAGCTTATACGAAGAGTCGTTCATAAATGTAGCCCACTCATCTATTTGTTGAACGAGACATAAATGAGAGACCTCAGGCATAACAAACCAGTAGCCATCTAATGAAGTCATTCCCCGCTAGATAAACCCTGTCGACAAAGACAAGCTCTTATCGGGGACGAACAGAGCCACGCGAAATAGACAAAAAAACGCTTCTTTTAAATAAATAAATTAGCAGTACTCGTGAGAATGCTTTTGATAGACCTTGATAGGGATAGCTTGATAGAAACAAGATGGCCAGTAGCCAGTAAAGTAATCGATAACGAAACGCACCCTGCTGGAGCGGTAAATCACAGAACAACTCAAGCTGGATGTTCCTTAAAACAATGCAATCGGTGCGTCTCCATGAGGTGTCAAGGGTTAGAAACAAAACCTCATAGAATGATGATACTTATCTCTGTTGCATTATGTTCCAACCATTAGAAGATCGGCATTTTCTCCATTACTTATTTGTTGAAAGCAAGACTGTCAAAAGGACCACTTGTACAAGTGGGCCTATACTACTGATCTGATACGCGTGATTACCGATCGAGTCTAAGATTTGTCAAGCTGCCAGGATGCTAACATTGTCCATTGTGTAGATATATATACATATATCTATGAACTCGCTAAAAAATTCTAATAGGAAAAACATTCAGCTGCTATCAATAACACTGAATATGAAATACCATAATCTTACGACTATCGTAAGTATTATTGGTCATCATTAGCAATACCTTAATGACGAATCGTGATGGTTCTGTGACGCCCGAGGCGGGTCCGTGCCTCGCAAGATCAATAGGCACATAATTATATTATGCTATAATAAATAATAATAAACCAACGCATAAAGGTACTGGAGGAAACCCGGTTGGTATGATTCTACCCTCGATATAGTAATTTCTGGTATTCATAATTTGTATTAATAATTGTCGTTGTAATAATAAGTATGTGGGAAATTTATATAGCATCTATAGCTTAGCCAGTTTGTATGGGTGGAGTGGTACAAATCATAGAGTTAGTTTTGTTATATGCCCAATGATGCACGCGGGGTGCTTAAAAGCGGGGTTTGGCAAGCGAGAAATTCGCAACTTTTCGACTCAGTAAAAAAAAAAGACAACAAAATAAGAAGAAGAAAGATATAATAACAGTGTTTAACAATAATAATCGCCGTATACTTTGTCGGCATATTTATGGGCACTTTTGATGATCATTTTTATAGCCATTTATTGCGCAATGACTATTTCCATGCCTAGTCAACCTTTCTGCACGCAATAAGATACCATTCGTGCGAAACCTATCACAAGGGTCTGATATGGAGAAACTGTTTTATACGCGACATATATCGTGCACAAGCTGAGAAGAAAAGGTCTGTCATAATTACAGTAACGTTGGTTGTTATCTGACATCTTTCTACACGCATCGAGATATGATCATACACATTGTTTCCGTAAACGAATACGTTGTAGTTTATTGGAGGCTGAACTTACTGTTATCTAAGTTAATCAAGTGTCCACTCAACGAGCCATAGCGTACATGGAATCACATTTACCGTGAATGAACGTTCAAAAGGGTACCTACAAATCTACGTAGTTCAACCAGCAACTGCGTCTAGAATATAAACGTCCTCAGGAGTGTGTAGCATTAGCTTACGCGATAATTAATTTGCATGTAAGTTATCTTCAGCATAAGAAAAACTTGCACCCATTTAGTACTTAGCAGCGCCACGTTTGAGTCGTCCTAATATCCATATATATCCACATAGTCCTTAAAAGTTCGTCACTCGTCGTTGAAATTGCTGGTTGATCCAGTATGCAAATTATAGTGGAGGTTAAATGGGGAACGACTATAATTCATGGTTCGATAGGCCGGTTTGTAAAGGACCTCATTGATTGACATACTTAAATAGTTGATCGGTTTCCGAACGAACTTGTGGATGATAGACGTCGAAAGGGAGCTTCCTCGTTGAAGAGAAGTTCCGAAAGGACAGTTTTTAAAGACCCTTCAAGCTTTACATTCAGTGAATCGACAATGATAAAATGGTCAAGATATATTACTATTCTAATAATTACTAGCGAAGTATGAGAATACGCTTCATTATTACTTAAGTAACGTAACGCATTACGTAAGTAAGTACGAATAGTGTAAGTAGACGAGGAGAGTGCCTTGTTGCCGTTTTCACTGTCTATCATGCATAAATCTTGTTAGTACGTACCGCACAGATATAAGTGCACGTCTGAAACACGCAAAAATCCAGTCGAGCGTGCACGTGTACGCAGCTCACACCCTGATATGTGAGACTCAATGAGTAGTTCTTCAATTCAACATGAACACGAGCTATACATAGTGTATTAAGCATTCCAATTCAACAACAAGCGGCAAACAAGTTGCCATAGAAACGCGTTGTAAAGGAGAAACAATTTTCGACCGTTGGCCAACAATTGTATCTATTATGTTTTTACAATAGAACTATATCACTTATAAATATGTGTCATAGATAACATCAAAGACGCTAAATTACATATACGGTAAGCCGTTACAGGGAAAAGTAGAGTGAAAGCAATATAGAACAATGCTCTACGGGAGGGTATGATAGAAAGCTATGATGGCAGCAAAACAATAACGATCACGATAGGTTCCTGGTAATAAAAAAAATTCCTGGTAAAAAAAATAATAATAAATAATAACATAATACGATTATGGAAATGACCATTATATTAAATAAATTGAATGATAGTCATAGATATGCCAATAACAGTAATAACAGATAGGACGAATTAGACTCATGTAGTGTGTGACCTAGGCGAGCAGCCAGCCAGGTCATGAAGGCATTGTGTTAAGCATGAAGTAGACTGAGGTGTACTTCACTTAATGCCGCATTGGGAACACTCCTCTAAGGGAATCTATTAACCCACGGCGGCAGAATGAAATGTCTAACGGAATGAAGAAGCCAACTCTCGACTGTTTAGTCCTCTAATACAAGATAGATGAGAATTACTACTAAGCAAATTTTCATGTATAAAGATAACTAGCTCAAGCATTTCAATGAAGTTTTAGTTCAGCACACAAAACAACGCTGAACTAAGAGGAGAGAGAGAGAGATAGCACAACAAGTAGAATGTCCTTTAGAAAAACTCCTTTCCGAGTGTTTAATAGCCACTGCTATGCCTTCACCCAGCGGTACCGAAACGACAGGTGACAATGATAGTACGTCTATATCTTAACAAATACGACTGAGACAAGGGTCAAGCCGTCATCGCACTAGTTCTGCACACCTATTCCCTATATTCGCAAACAATTTTCTGTAAAATCTGCTAGCCCATCGACGCGACATTATTACTGTTGTACGGGCATCTTCAACGCCAAACCCAACCATTTTCTAGAGCGACAGTCCTTCCAGAGATAATGGCCCAAACATGGGCTGAACTTACCTAACCAATGCAGCACATGTTACATTTCTATCAGCGCAGATGGCTGTGTACATACATAGACGAAAGAACCGCGAGGGCGAAATTTGCTCTTTAGAAAAATTGCAACATGAAATCGAGTGAAGAAAGTGTGAGATAATGGCAATTAATGCATTGACAGAGGTAGGAGATGATGCGAAACACAGTGACCATTGGAATATCGCAGGCGATAGCAGGACGAGGAAGGATTTGCAAGTTAGGTTTTGTACCCCGTTGCGGGACAGTTTGCCTATCGTACTTGAATTACAGGCAGGCTTCGTCTGGGTAGACACAATTAGAACAGTTGATGACTGCGATTCGAATGAAATGGGTACCCGATAATGATGTTTATGATTTTAAGATGCGGACACCGTCCAGATATTCCCCCTAAGTGATGTAGCAACCACGGCAACGATGCCGTAATAGCTGTTCCGATGAACGATTGATGAGACATATAATAATAATAATATAAAGAAGCAGCTAACTAACTTATGACCATAATTAATACCACTATAATATAAACTATGACTGAGGTAAGATTCCAGACAACCTATTGTAGAGATTGGGAGTTGAGACTGAGAAGGGAGACCCATATAACCATTCCTGCGCATAGAACCTAAATAATAAATGATGATCAATGATAGGACAGCGCTTTTGTAAAAGCACCCATGAAATAAACATTGTATTATATATATATATATATATATATATATATTCGCTAAATAAACATTTAGATTTAGACTAACTTACCTAGTGTTTTTTATTTTATTACATGCGCAGTGTGCTCGTAATGGCACTATGCAGGGGGCAAATAAGTTCAATGCAGGAAAATAAATAGGATCGTATTCATAATAACGTGTTAATGCGCTAAAAGAGCTAACGGGCAAATACAAAAAACTAACTATAATAGACTACAGCTTATTAAAGAATTTTCTTTGCACAGTAGTGGAGAACTGATAGCAGCCGATCGGAAAATTACGTAGATAATACAAGGTAAATTATTATCAGTTTAGTTCTCGAATCACCATTAATTTTCCATTGGTTTCCCATTTTTCCAATTAATTAACCATTTCTAAAGCGATCGTGTTTTTTTTAATCCGTCAAAGCTTTTTCGTGACATACCAGACTGCCCCACCTTTCGGCGATCTGTAAAGAGAACCGCAGCCTTAAAAACCTTTAAAAAAATAAAGCTCTACTCGTATACTTATGCACACCTGTCACGCAGTCTACAGAGTGGCCTAGCCCCATTTCTGCTCATGAGTTATTTCTGAGATAGCCTCTAAAGAAAAAGAGACAATTTGGAAATTTCCATATGCTAGAAATGTCACTCCTAGCCGTTATATTTATTCTATGTAAGGGGATTTTTCATTCCTAAAATATTCCAACTATAGCTCACGAATAACGTGTCAACGGTAATCATGGATTTAGCGATGTTAATAGATCCGTTCAACTCGTTGAACTGTTGCTACATACATAAAGTTTCAATGGGATTCGTAGCATCTCAAAAGTCCGAAAATACCAGGACTCGAGACTGCTGAAAACTCTCGAAAATACGTACCGCGGAAGCTTCCTCGGGTGATCCAACTGGCAATGAATATATATGTATATATTTTTTCCTAAAATGGCCGTTGATTTTTGTATCAGGAAGCCATATACATTTTCGTTAGTTGTCGAGCTTTTCAAATCTAAACCTCAGTGTTATATTTTGGTTTGCTTCTGTACAGTCTTCTTTAACTCTCTCAAAAGCCGGATAAAAGCTAGCAATAGCGTAGATTGTTAACTTCAGGCAAAAAACAGAAGTTTCTAGTTTTATCTGTTCTTCGCTCATATTTTCAAAATAAGGCAGCGCTTTTTCGCTATAATGTTTTTTTGCTGTTTGGTCTTAGAAGGGACTGGCGTTTTCCTGATACTCAAGATGGCGGATGTACACACGCGACGACCAAATGACCGGCTGAGGTTTTCTTGAGTCTTGAGTGCCCCATTATGTATATCGCAAGTGAAGTTAAAACGAGCAGTCGTTCATTTCCTCAGTTAAAGGTTCAGTTGTCCGAATCTATTTCAAAACTAATAAGTCACTTGGAAAGGGCAACATGGAGAAGTTTCTGATGAAGCTCACTGTGAAACGGGAACGACACCTATTAGTGGAATGTTCTATTACAAGAATCACCGTTTTTTCTTACGACTAACATTAACTTCGAACGATTAACGATGTCAAGATAAATTTCTGTCAGTTAGCTTTCGATCTAGCCGATGAAGATAAAATACACATATACTATATTGTCTATCAGCTTTGGACACCGCTACCGAGAAAAGTAGCCAAAAGGGAATATTAATCACAATTAAATAGGAATCCCAGACTGTTCCTAACGAGCAAAAAGTAAAAGCAAGTTCACGTCTTTATAGTTCTTTAAATAATCGACATTATATATATATATGTTTTATTGTAGTGGCTTATCATTTTTTTTTATCGGACATTAAGCTTCATTTGATTATTTTGTGCATGATTTTTACCATTATACATTTAATTCGTCACGGGTAGACGCACGCATTTCTAATTTTCTGTTGGCTAAAGATATGCTTATACAGTAATAAGAATTGCAAAAATAATAAGGATAACTATCATCATCTTGTTACGAATTTAAGGATTTCTCCTCTTTATTTCAAACCTATGTGTTTCATAGATATTTAGGGTATTGGACCGTTATCATTACTAACTACTGCAACTATTATAGACAACAACGTTTGATTTTTCAAGATTCTACCTATCTATCAAATACATTGTGTATGAATCTACATAATTAAATAATTATTTCTTCGCCCCCCTTCCTTATCTTCAACACTGAGCCTTCATGTTCCCTACCGTGCTAAATCCCTGCTCTGGTGACAATCTACATTTTTTTTTTCGTTTATTTATGTTTCATAAAACAAAAATTTGCTAGGTGTATTGGTTCTTATCTGTGGTGGTCACTCTATAACCACACCCTTTACGAATATAAATATTATATTATTTAATATGCGAAAGCCTTTTATACGGTGGCGTCTTAACTCTGAAATATAACCAAACGTACGCATGTCCCTCTACTCTTAGCATGTATCGTATACATGCGTATGTGACTATGAACGTAACTAACACAATATTATCGCCTAGGGCGGTACATTCAAAACAGAAAATTTGGCCTGATATGTCAAAGCATAGAATTTACTTAGGGCATTTTCCCCATTGAGTTGCCTGGCTTGACAATCATTGTGGCTACAAAATCTTGATTACAGTATAAGGATTATTAATTTGTTCTAGAATATTGTTCGCGTTCAAGGGACAAGCCTCGCCTTCATAAAAACAAAGATCCGTTAATTTAAGGAACTGATCAAACGAGAAAGCGACAGTATTTAACTAATCGTTGCAGTTCTTACGTGGGTACAAACAGTGAGAATACTACCAACTTATTACTACTAGTCTCGTTCTGCGTATCTAAATGAAAAACGTAAGTTGAAACCTGCATAAGCCCCTCGCCCATGTCCGGCTCCTATGCACTATAACTGCGGCCTAACGTTGAAAGAACAATCTTTTAGACAGTATTCCCGCCATGAATCCATGTAATTGTAGCGTGAGTCAACTAGTAGGTAGGCTCTTTGACGTCTCTTTGACCTGACCACCTGAAGAAAGCAGGTGCCTTTTTCACCAAACGGACCGTTATTATAATTGATATCAATAATAAAGATCATTTAAAACACAAATGTCACAGCTAAACTTGCTGTGTCTACGTACATCTAAAGGATGGAGAATAGATAATAAAGGTTGATTGCATTTCGAGGGAACGCGCCGCAACTTCGAAACGCATATTCGTTATAACCACTTATCCTATTCACTTCGATCACGGGTCCGTTATTTTGGAAATTATCAAGACCTTTTTAATGTGATCTCCTGTTTTTCTAGTAACCTCCTATATGCTTTACGAAAGGTAACGAAATTATGGACGAAAAATAAGAAAACCATAGGTGAAACGAACACAATTTTCGGGGCTCGATTTTCTCCTTAGCTGTGTCAATTGTACTAGGAACAAGGAAACTATCAAATCCAGCAGCGCTGTTCTGAACGCTTAACTTCCATGAAATGCGTAACTTATAACGATAGCGTATTAGTTAACGATGATTGCATAGGCATAATCACCGAATGAAGCTACGGGCGTTCTAAGCAACAGAGTACACTTCACGATTCCGTTGTCATCGTATTTGTTTTCCATAGGCAGTCCATGTAGCTGTTGTCAGTGTCCTGTTTCGTTGAATATCATTGGCTTTCTCGACCTGTTGAATCGCTCTCTTTATCTTTTAATGAAATCCACATTTAACGGACTTGTAAGTCCAGGGACAGTCCTATTTCATAAGGGGGGCGTTAGCTCGCGTAGGTGCCGTAATATACATGGTGTGTCTGCATGTGTGTATGTATGTAAGTTATTTCCTCGTCGCCCAGGATGTTACTATGTGCGTCATAGTTCCTACTGGAAATGAGGTAAACGTTCATTCTTTTGCTGAAGAGCAACGGGGCACGCTTATGTCACTGCTTTCTTGAAGTACATCATATTCGACAGGCGTTCATTATTAATGGAGAGAAACCGGTCAGTTGTACAACACGCTTGCAGCCACATATACAGCTGTTGGGTAGCAATGATAATTGCTTGCTGCCACCAGTTCATGGGAGGTGGACGCAATCATAATCATACAATATAATCTCAATATTTCGCTTGCTACCAGTGCTGCGTACCTTACTCGGAATGCGACGTGGAACCCGTTGAGACTATCAATCAGTGTGAACGGGCATGTGATGATGGTAGGCTTTAGAAAAAAAAAGCTGTTATCTTAGAAATTCGTCCGCAGTCTTCGATGGAGCACATGTGTAGTATAGAAATGAAGTAGTAATATGCATGAAGCTCTCCTGAAAATTTTTTTTTGCAAAACGGCGAAACTGATCAAGGGAGCTAGCTGTGTGCCGTCACCGCCTAAGACGATGAAGGGCCAAACAGTATTTAAGCGTTGCTCCTGATGACTGACATATACCTAATCGCCCACTACAGAAGATCCAGCAAAGGACGGTCGTCGTTAGTGCTTATATGTCCGTTTCAACGGAGCGAAATCGAAGAAAATATGATGTACATTGTTCATGTATTTCGCTGCCTACCAAACGTCACACACTTCTCGCGAAACCATACGACTCGATACACTACACCCGAACGCGTTAGCGAAATCGGGTGTCTGTTGAAGTACTCGATGTAGGCGAAGTCTTTCCGGCGTTCTCGTCAGCGTTCGGTTTAGCTGCGCAATCGTTTTGTCGGCCATGTTTGCACAAATCAACTGACCGTACCCAATGTAGAACAACTGTCGAGCGTTGAAGTCAAGGCCGGGTAACTTCGATGGCGTCGAAGACTCATCCAACATCTGCAGCGCCACTTGTAGCCCGGCAATGTCGGAAACCGCCTCCTCAAGAAAGTTATTCAAAATGCCGTAGGAGTGCAGTTCATTTTCGGTATTTCTGTCTAGACACGTTAATAGATCTCCCAGGGCCTCAAAGGTCGTGTCGGCCACAGCTCCATGTTCACTAAACTGCAGTCCAAAACGGTCGATGGATTTTAGTGCCTCTTGAGCGACGACAGCAATGGCGGCTGCCTGTAGTCCGGCGTTTTGCCCAGCTGAGAAAATGGGCTGAGACAGCATACCCATTGGTACAGACACCTGTAGAGTAAGAGTCATTTGAAAAATGGGTAACAGCACTAATTACATTAGATTCAAAGATTTAGTCTTAAGAAGGCAGGTAAAAACTCATATATATATATATATATATATATATATATATATATATATATATATATATATATATAGTGAGATAGCAGTCACCTGTAACTTTGGGAGTCTTTATTTTGCATCTGTAAAAAATGTAGACGAGCAAAATATACTACAAATGACAATAAGAGAAAACTGAAAAGAAGACTATTACATTGTCGAAGGTTATTACTCGACTGAGAATAATTTGGTTTGAATTGTCCTTAAAAATCCTTTGAAAGTATCCTTCACAAGAAAATACGGAGAGAATATTTTCATTGTTACCCGTATAATTTCAAGTTTTTGCTAGCTGGTTGCGTGAAACACGGACAACTAACCTGATTGAAACTATACGAATAGTACGGCTGTAGGGACAGTGGTGGCACCGTCCAACCGAGTAGCTGAATCGCTAGATCTTTCTTATCCAACGCGTTGTCACTGACCGCCATTACCATCCATCTCTGCCTTAGCCTAAATAGCTCAATGAGGTTATCGAAGAAATCTCGATTTAACGTAGCATCTCGATAGTAGACGAAAGCCTGTAAGCATACGTATGCGTGACCAAACACATTTGCTGGATCAGTAATTCACTTCGCTCGAAACGACCGAAAGGGGCAAATCGTAGACGGGCAAACAGTGAAACTATTTGCTGAACGGAAGCTTGAGTTCATCGTACTAGAGTAATGCAATGCAAATGTACATCAGTTACGTTGCATCGCGTTGGTACGCCCCATTTATCGTTACCGATATTGTTTTCCTATATCATTCGCTAATATCCAAGGATCATTTGTTTCATTAATGATCATAAGTATCATTTTTCTGTATGTGCTGTTCACCGGTAACTGTAAACAAAGATTGTAGAAAATTTAGGTTACAACGAAGTCAGACCGCCATAAAGATATTTACACAGTCCTTTCTAGAACGAGTACATTAGTTAGCCAGGAGTTCAATGAATGTTGAAATGTTTTTAAAAAAACACAACAAATTCGCCGTTTTATCTTGAAATTTAGCCAGTCAAATAAAGGCGATCCGCAGACTCACGTTCTCTTCAGTGTTAGCTCCATCAGGATATCCAATCTTGACATTCAGACCATCAAGACGATCATCCACTTTGTGGTATGAATCCTTAAGCCATGCTACGTTTTTAACGTGCCTACGAGCCAGGGCGGGTATCTTGTTGAGAAGTCGTTCAGCCTCCTGCTTGTTTGCAGTGAGATGAAAGCGGTGTTGGTGCAAATGAGCCAGACCAAGTCCGAAAAACTCATTGGTGAGGTCCAGGCAATGGACAAACGAGGTCTAAATGAATTCATAATTAATGAGGTAGGAACACATATATTAGATAAGTAGGGCAGACAGATGCATTAATTAACCTGAAAGTGATTTAAATAGCTTTTCAATATTCGTGCTAGCCAATAAAAGCATCGATTTTTCGCTCGTCGAGGCACACAAAAACACAATTTTTTAGCCATTTTGACAGTATGAGACTACATTAGAAGAGATCCGAGCTGCTCATTCTGAAAGTACCTGATGGTCGATCTTGTTGACCTCAGTACCGGCAATCTCAGCACGGAACTTAGCCTCGAGAAGCCTGATCTCTTTGCCCAAGAACGGCGTAAATTTCAGAACGAAGTGCCACATTATGTAACGACTTTTAAGATCGACATCGGATGTCGACAGAACCTTACGCAGTTGCCTGTAAACACATATATTACTATTAATACTTCTCAGATGACCACCAAAATATCACTGGTGGGCAATTTTTCTGCTGTCCCTTAACGGGATTTAATCACCGAAATATCATTTCGAAAACGGTGGGGTAGTCCACGTATCGCTTTACATGCATTGTTATCTATGCATCAGTGTAAAATAATGCCTATGATATTGGATATTTATGAAAATAATATAAAAAAAAGAAAGAAAATAATATAGTAATGTTCCATTGTTTTCATGAGTTTTATGATACAACAATCTACTTTTTACATGTAACTTTGTAGTTTTATCAAAAGTAAATAACTTGGCTGTCTCGATTTGCAACACTCAATTTCCAATGTTGAACGTAGGTAAAAAGTCATCCCAGTCAGCTTAGCGACTTCCATGAATAGACTTCAAACCCGAATACTGGACAAGGTTTATATATTGAAACAAATTTTCTGGTTGATGAAATAGATTGATTAATCCTCTAGAAGTTGCATGAATCAAGTGAACTGCCATTATGTTTTTTTAAAACTTTTTTACCTTTAAAGGTTCTGATTTTTTTTTTGGTCGAATTTTAGAGATACATTTAGCTTGCGTACTCCGCGAAACATCTTGTGAATTTGTTAAAACAAACGCCGCAATATCGGATAGTTTCACTCATGAGGCAGTTAACCCGAAAGATCGCTTGAAAAAAGTTGAATTCTACTTACTTGAAATATTCGACATTTTCGATAATCACCCGATACTGGTTGTTAATACGAGTGTTTTTGAAGACCATGCCAAGCAGCTCTTCCCACAGGATATTCGGCGTGATGATCTTCAGTTCACTTAATGGAAGTACGACACGATCGCGAGTGAGGTTGCGCGTATGAAGCTCGGAAAACTGTGTGGGATCAAAAATGTAACACGAACTCAGCAAGGTCACCGATGGATCCGAACCAAGCACAGTATTCCGAGCGGATCGTACAGCGAAAACTATATACTTAATTATATAACCAACTCGATGTTTAACGACTCATGAGGGTTATAATAGCCGAACTTCCATTGAACTCAATTATGAACTATATAAAGTTATACTTAATAATTTAATTGACTTAATAAACGTTTAATTGTACAAAAATCGTATATGCCTTTAGTAAACGGCTCTCATATTCGTACAACAGTTCGCCTGTATCTTCGATTCTGTAGTGGTTGTCGTTTTCTCTGAGGATGCGGACCACCTGTAACATCATAGAGAAAAACGTACATGGAAAGGAAATGTAATGGCAGGAAATAAACTCATCTGCTGTTGAGCTTATTGATTCCTGAATTGGGGAATCCAAGGCAAATTTAAACCTGACAACAAAAACTCTCTCCGAAACGTCACGAAACGCATGTACATACAACTAGTTATAGGCAGTTTTTATCGATATTGGTCATCTATAGCGTGCGGAGCTCAAAAACTTAGATCGTTGCAGTCAGCCAATGAAACGGCCAAAACGAAAGATCAGAAGGTTTCAAGAGATCCTTCGGCTGCCTGTGGAACACCAACTGAATAGTAGTGATACGCGTATGTTGTACATAACTGTGTGTAATTTTTCTAACCTATTTCCGTAAGAGCAGATAGGGAAGTGGAGAAGGGATGAAAGCTCAGAACTGATTATTCAAAACGTCTGCTCGAGCAGATCGGAAGTAAAATCGGGTTTAATTTATAATCATACGAAAAAGACAGGTAGAATATCTAAACTTACACAAATCCAAACTGATAATGGCAATCTATTATTGTTATAATAGCTCTCTCCAAAAAAATCAACGCTTTCGCTAAACTGGGCATCTCGAAGCAGGAATATAGTGTGTGTTTGTGGTACATACATCGTTGATAAAATTTACATAGGATTTACGTAAGAATGGCTTCGTAAGGCTGTCGTAATTCACGGGATTAGCGCCGAGACCGAATCCGGATGGTGAAATCTGTAACAAACCAGAGTTCAAATCAGAAATTGTACGTTCTTCCGGTGTTGCCTACCTAGACAACTATATTTATCACTGTACAATATATCAGTCTAGTTAGAAATTCAGATGCTCAACTACTATAAACAAGAGCTCTATTATATGGTTGATATGTTATCGCATGTTCATTAGTAACACGGGCTAACTTCCGCATCCGCAGGTTTCAGGTAATGTTTTCTGTTACTGACTTCCTGGTAGCATTGACAAGCGTCTCTGTTATCCACAATAGGTTGGCCGTAACATTACGCTCAAGCGTCTGGACGTTATTAAAGCATCTTAACAATTAACATGCTCATGACTATAACTATTTATTTTAGTTTTCGGTCATTGCCTAATTATCGTTTCCTATTTTCTCAACCCTTTACTACCTAGTACAAAGGACTTTGTTACAGAAAGCATATAGCAAATCAGTGCCACATCGATGGGTCATGGCGCATTAGCGACAGGCGAAACGGCCGCCTGCTGCGGTGTCGCGTACGGGACCGCAAAGCGCCAAGACACCAAAAGCATTGAGCCAGTCATGTGCACCATAACATAAAACCATTCGTACAAAAAGTGATAGCTTTTTATTCAACGCTAGAATGAGTTCCTTATCGGGTATCTCCGACCGTAAACGCTTCCGTGTATTCGAAAGTATTAGAGCTATCGCTATACCCATAATAACAACAACAACAGCTTCCTGTCTGTTTTTCGAAAAGAAACAAAGACCGAAAAAGCCTGGCCAGGCCGAGAGACGCATGAATGCTCTCGTACGTATCCATAAATGAGCCACTTTGGCTTACATGAGCCGTCTTCATAAGTAAAACATGCTATATCGGTCAGTCATCACAACCAAAGGGTCTGCCATTGAATGAATCAGTGACGGCATTCGTAATATCCAGAACATGCAGCGACAATACTGGTTCGTGTCTACGGCACTATTATCCTCAAACAAATGTGCAGAAAAATAGATTTAATTATTCATTTAACTCGCATGCGTCCATAAAACGGTCGCAAAAAACAGGTACTGATGAGGGTAGCGAAGTAAGGAGACACTGACCAACGGAAGTCAGATGAGTCATCAGGAACGAGCACGAGCATATTGTGTTTCGTAGTACGTGACATCGTTTTTTGATACAAAGTGCTTTGGTAAAATGAAAAGTATCTCTGTCCTTGTGAGCAGTTTATCTCAGGTGTACACGAAACAAATAGCCATAGAAACAAATGTGTAAGTATGGTCCTTGCTGACTATTACACATATATTACTAAGATCATCGAATAGTTACAAAGCAGCTACTGGGTTTTCTACTATATCTAATCTATATCCACTTTATCAAGTAGTGCGTGATCAATTTACCGTTTTCTGTCTGGACGTGTACGTAGTTACCACGTAAAAACGTTGGGCTTCTTGTCTGCTTTTAAAACTTAGAAATAGGAAACGTTCGTTGTCGTAACTCATTACATCGATGTCAAACGTCCGAACGCATTGACGAGAACTGATCGCTAACACACGGGAAGTTCCTTGTTCTAACTTCTGTGTTCTTTTTTTATTTAACCATTTTATTTCATTTATTAACACCTTTGAAGTAAGCAACGACGCAGTCACACACGTACGGATTATAGCGGCCTGGCAAATTTACCAGCATAGAATAAATTCTATGCAACACTGCTAGCTGCTGGTCGCTTCGTTCTGTCTTTATTAGTTTAATATTTGGATGTTTTACGTTCGTCCGAGATACTTTGTCATTTAGTTTTGGCCCTATGCTTCTCTTCCGTAACACTCGACGTATCCATAGGGACATCTTCTGAGTGAGCCCATCAGAAAACGATCATCAGTGACATTTCTATTAAGCAAAAGGCGTCCAACGCTAGCTGAAATCAGCTTAAAATATTCCAACACAGATGCACACGCCCCGTCTTCCTGTTCCGTCTAATATTCTATGACTAATTGTGGCGTACAATAATACAGAGATAAAAGTCCCTATAGATATGATCGTAACGCCGTTAAGCCACAACGAAAGCTGAATTATCTCTCCGGAGAAGCTGGTCGAGAAAAAAGATAATGCGAAGTAATCGATTGACAGCGGCCGTGGTAACGGACGAAATCCCTGTGGGTTATCTTTCACGAGCCACTATTTTATTGCGGACACGTTTTCGCAAGCGGCACATAGAACCATTGCGCTATACTGACCGTGAATAATTCCGACTCAACGATATGTACTATAACTACTATTAGAAGAAAACGAACTTACGAGCTATAATAGTAATGATTTAGGGTAGTATCGTCACTCCGCAGTGGGCCTTCGATATAGTCACGGCAAAAATAAGCCCAGTACTAACAGCTATATTAACAACATCCAACGTTACCCATATATATGGATCACATTTAGCCCACGGTAACCACACATGGGACGACTAGTCGACGCTGACTGGTTGGTCTTGATTAACATATTGCCATAACGTTTGTCCTAATTAGAATTATTGTTTCACACAACGCGTACATTGTTCTTAGAAAAACTTCATAAGGGTATACTCTGTTTCGACGATTCGATGATAACAATAGACGACTAAACGATAACATCAACTTAACTTAAGAAGAAAACTCTTCGTTTTTATCGCAATTCACGTTTAGACTATATTTGGATTGCACCGCAACCTCGGTCTGAACGATGAAGGATAGAAAAAAACATTGTACTCATGAGAAAATTTGCATACGCATTGAAATACAAATCGGTGCCAATGGCCAAATATGATCCATACACCTTCACAAATGTCACGAACCCTATCAGCGTGGCAGCCACGAAGGATTTCCAAACATGAAGCATAATTAACGTAACCGGCTACTTTATAACGGCCAGTGCCTATACTTAATAATGATGTCGCGGACCAGGCAGGCCTTTCGCAATGTCCTATAGCCTCTCGACCGGCAAACCGACGTATCGCTTTATTTGATACATCCATCAAGGGCCTGGGAGGTAGATATGCTTCATTTAATCGATGACAGACCGCTGCGGCAATCCGGTCTGACCCTGCTGCCTCAAAATGTCCGCGTCATTAGAAAAGACAATGCAATTTGTGTCAATTATCGAGTATAAGATCAGCTAGTAAGACGCATTTACTATTCATTATTAATCTAAATTCATTGTCCACAGCTTACCAAGTGGTTTATCTAGATTTTCTAGATAAAACTCTGATAGAACAATTATTTCGCTGCAATTATGCTTCCAGATATCGTTCTTGGCAAAATATCGAGCTTTCGATCTTTAGATGATATATCACCTAATGCAACAATACCACCCGGTAAACTAAATGAGTAGATCTTTCATTAACGAAATTTGCCCTCGTCCGGTACCTCTATCATTGTGCGAATGTACCCAGCAGTGTTTCATGCTTCAGTGTTTTTCGGTCAGCTCACTTAGCTTACCTAACGAGGGACACGTTCTTACAAAAACACATCCCGTCTAAATCCTGACTTCGCTTTAAGGATGGCCTGAGAAACAGAAGTACATTGCTTCTCCGTGTCTTTATTCGAATTAGGGAATTAACCTCTATTTCCGGCTATACCAGTCGGGGCGCAACAAGTATCAACGAAGACAACATCTAAAAAATGTGTGTATGTTGCCGACCTGACAATTGTCTGTTGAAATACACTGGGGTGTCCCAGCGTGACGTTTACCTTTACATCAGTTCTATGCATACGTGCACGAAACGAATTACATTAAGAAAACGGAATTTACATAAGACAAATTTACCAATTGTGCAGACAATTTCTATTGGTTCTGCGTACTAATGATGGCTTACGGACGGTGCATCAAGGCTCATACTGGGGGGGGGGCTTACGCTGAAGACTGAAGGAATCACGAGATGGGGTTGAACACACGGTTATTACGTGTGGTTATTTAGAACGGGTTTGGAAATTTACGTAGACAAACGATGAGACAAGCTAATTATCATCGATAATAGCGGTTCAGTATTTAGCAACCACGGCGCTCGGAGTTAGACTGAACGCTACCCCCCTCCCCCCCCCGCTGTATTTTAGCATCTAATAGGATAAATCAATGTAAATTAAAATCAAGAAAAAATCGTCGCTGAGAAGATTTATCGACGAATCATTTACCTTTAGATTACATTTTGTAGCTATTTTTTTTTTATAATTCACAATTACAAAATATAGCTACAAAGCCTTTTTAATTAGTTGAAGGGACTTCCCTCTAGTCGTATACCTCCACTTCAATGAAGCACAAACCTGATCAGATAGAATAGCGGCGATTGCGACCGTTGCCGACAAATATCTAACTTATACCGACGACAGATTTTCAATTGAGGCAGGTGTTTCGAGCGGCCATTGCCCCGATTATACACCCAGTCAATCGTTACTTCTAATAACTGACCTAAAATTTGCAAGGCGTTTGCATCTTCCGTTTACTCTTGATTCACTTTTGTTTCATGGCGTACCCAATCAGGTGGAAATGATGCGAGGCACTATTAGACCGAATAGTCGCTGTTGTCACCCACGATCATAACGAAAAATTAGTTCTTCATCTATTCCATTGAAATCGACGATGAGGGCAGGTTGTTTGCACCCTTCAGAATTTCTCGGTACCTGAATCATTTTCGACACAAGCGTCTTTGGTGGGTCCTCCTGATGGTTTTTACTCGTCAACGTTTTTTTTTTTTTACAGGGAACCAGTGTTGGATGTGGATGCCTTGCAACACTATTTTTAGGAAATATATCAAAGGCTCATTTGCTCTTTAATTTGTGTGAGTTTGACCCATCCATATTTTAAAACTCCTTAAACCTGTTCTATCTGTTCCACAGTAGTTTCTCTCTAAACCGTTTCTCTTTGAATTGGTGTCAACGAGGCAATCTGCATCTGTTACCGTGAATTCAGATAAGAACAATTATAGTCATTTTCACTCATGAAAACAATAATTTCAGCATTTTCTTCTTGAAAGTCGTACGTTCTTCAGGTATCCTAAGC